TGCTACTGATGTTGCATCCCGTGGACTTGATATTCCCAATGTTGATTTGGTAAGCTCCAGGAATTACCTATGATTCCTAATCAAATTTTAATTATACTTCTTTTGGTCCTAGTACACGTTTATATGAAACTATTACCACTCTGTATGTCTTTACCAGAGTTCAGTTGCCAACACCTTGATAAGCCTGTGGCCTCAATAATTTTTTTTCCTTTTCTTTTTCCAGGTGATCCACTATGAACTTCCCAATGATTCAGAGACATTTGTACATCGTTCTGGGCGTACTGGACGTGCAGGGAAACAAGGTACTGCCGTTCTGATGTTTACTAACAACCAGAGGAGAACAGTTAGAACTCTTGAGCGTGATGTGGGGTGCAAGTTTGAGTTTGTTAGTCCCCCAACTATTGAAGAAGTTTTGGAATCTTCTGCTCAGCACGTGGTTGCTACTCTCAGTGGAGTTCATCCTGAATCTGTACAATTTTTCACACCAACTGCACAGAAATTGATTGATGAACAGGGAACAAATGCCCTTGCTGCTGCACTAGCACAGTTGAGTGGATTTTCTCGACCTCCATCATCCCGGTCCCTTATCACTCACGAGCAGGTAATTATCAAAGTCAATTTACGCTTAATTTTCTGTTTAGGTTGTTTATTTTCTTGGTGGAGTGAGATTTAGGGTTTAGGGGGTGTTTGTGTTTTGGAACTTTCCTCTGGTATTTTGTTATATTATTTGAACTGGAAAATTATATGCAGGGATGGACGACATTGCAAATTATTAGAGATCCAGCTTTTGCCAGAGGGTTCCTGTCTGCTAGATCTGTCACTGGGTTTCTTTCAGATGTTTATTCTGCAGCTGCTGATGAAGTTGGAAAAATACATATAATTGCGGACGAAAGGGTTTGTATTTACAACATCTCATGCTTATTTTGATCCAGTGCTTTAATTCATTTCACTTGAAAAAAATTTTGATGGTGATAATATCAGGTTCAAGGAGCAGTTTTTGATCTTCCAGAAGAGATTGCAAAAGAGTTACTAAATAGACAAATACCTCCTGGAAACACTATTTCCAAGATAACCAAGGTCTACTTTTGCTTTCGGTCACTTTCTCATAATAGCAGCTTTTGCATGAAAAAACTACTAACAGAGATGTTTATGTGCATGTATTATTCTGTGTTGTCAGTTGCCAGCTCTGCAAGATGATGGGCCAGTGAATGACTACTATGGCAGATTTTCAGGCAGAGATCGGAATAGTCGACGGGGAGGTTCTAGGGATCGTCAAGGATCATCAGGCTTTAGAAGTTCCAGGGGTTGGGGTTCCAGTGATGGTGCTGATGATTCATTTAGGAGTGGTGGTAGAGGTGGTGGTAGAGGTGGTGGTCGAAGTTATGGAAATAGCAACAGTCAATCTCGGACTTCAAGAAGCATTGATGATGATTGGCTTATTGGAGGTAGACCATCAAGCAGGTCATCATCCCGAGACAGGTATATTATCTACACATTTCAAGTTTCTCATTCTTTCTTGAGTTAACATTGAAAGAAGAATAACCGTTACGCTAGCAAATTAAAAACATCTAATAGTGCAGTGATCTTATAGTCTCAAGTAGAAGACTGTGCTCACTTGGTAAAATATATACAGAGTCTGAACTTGTTATGAACTTATGAGCCAGCAACGACAGTTCTTAGTGTACATTGTTGACGAGTTTGGGAATTATTTTTCTTTGTTTTTAATCTCTCTTTCAAAATTTTCCCTCCCTACTCTTATGCTAATAGTCAATTGCCTTCTCTGAAATGAGACTTGGGTCTAAACCGGCGTTATGTATTAGTCAGGGCTCAACTAACTGAGATGGAAAGAGATTGCATTCCTGGCATAATGAACTTTTAATTTACTAGAATAGCTTACTGTTTGATATTCAAATCAATAAGGTTTTCTCAACTTATGGTCCCATAGGGTAGTGGTTGCTCCTTGATTGATATTCAAATTTGCACAACTGAAATTATATCTCAATTTGCAGTTCCAGAAGCTTTGGAGGTTCCTGTTTCAATTGTGGGAGGTCTGGCCACAGGGCATCAGAATGCCCTACCAAGCAAGGATATTAGATGTGCATCCATAAACATCAGTTTTGCAGAACCATTAGTGGGTTACGTGCATCCTTAGACATCAGTTTTCCAGCACCATGGTGGGTTAGAGGCTGCTGCTGCTGCCGCTATTTGTGTTTGTGGGGCATCCGTGGTCAATGAGATTGGGAGATGCTGCTACTCCAGCGTGTTTACAAGAATCAAATTGAACGATACTTCTAAAAGAGCTATAGGAATTAATTTTGAACTGCTCTCTCTCTCTCTCTCTCTCTCTCTCTCTCTCTCACGTATGTATTTTGTTTGACATTATAATCAGTGAATGTAGGTGTGTTTTTAAATTTACGTAGGTGTTAAACATTTCTTGAAGAAAAAGTTTATGTCTCATGTCCTAAAGTTTGAATTGTTTTGAAGAGCAATATTTCCTCTGTTTCTCGCCAGTGTCAAGTTCCAAACTTCAAAACAAAAACGAGAACATAGAACGAGCAAAATCTATCTACTTGCCAAAGAGAATGTTGATGACGCTTCTAACCACAGGCCCTCTCTTGCTCTTAAGAACCTCCCTCACAGCTTTCTCGTCCGGCACAAACCCCTTACCTTTCATTTCCACCAGCAACTCCCTCCCCTCCTCTGCCCTCTCCTCCTGCCTCGCAAACCCCTCGAACACCACCGTGTAGGTACCGGCATTGGGCTGCATTCCCTTCCCCATCATCTCCCGCAAATACTTCTTGGCATCCCCAAGGAACTTACCGCTGGGGTCGGCAGCCAGCGCCTTGATGAGAACAGTGTAAGTGTAGGCGTTCGGGGCGACCCCAGAGGCTAACATGCGCAGGTACACCTTGAGAGCCTCCTTGGTCTTGCCGGCATTGGCGTAGGCCTCTATGACGGCAGTGTGTGAAACGACGTCTGGCATATGACCCTTGTCCTTGATATGAGCAAAGAGCTCCAGGGCCTCGTGGGTTAAGCCGTCTTTGGACAATGCGTCGAACATCTTGACTGCATTGTTGGTGAGGCCATCGGTGCGCATCTTGTGGAAGACTTCTTGCAGGTCTTTTGGGTCTTCTGGGTCCTCGATGGTGGGCTTCTTGTTGAAAGGGTCGTACGGGGGAGGGAGCTTCGACTTGTCGATCTCTTTGGTGGGGGTTTTCGTCGTCGTTTCGTCATCGTCTTCGTCGTCTGAAGGGAGAGAGAAGTTAACCTTGGTATTGACTTTGGTGCTGGATTCAGAGGAGCTGAAGAACCTAACACTATTGAAGGTACGAAAAGGAGATAGCGATAGTGGGAGAAGCAACCTCCTGTGGTGGTTTTCTGTGAGTGAAGAAGAAGAAGCAAAAGAGATGGTTTTGTTGGAGTGGTTGGCTGCAGCTATGGCTATGAGACGCTTACTGAGAACAAAGGGAAAAGGATTGGACTTGTAGTTAGAGGCGGTAAGAAGAAGGAAGGCCCGAGATACTAACGTCCCTGCCATTGATCTCTCTTCTTCCTGGTATCAGTTTGCGTCTTCCAGGCGTCTGGGCTTTGAGTTTCTAGCTTCTACTCCCAGTTTCTGAAGGTTCCAGTTGGGGTCTAGTGGGTCATGTGGGCCCATTTATGATCCTAATATACTTAAGCAGTATAGCCGGCCGACTATACTACTTTTTATTTTAAAAAATAGTCTCGCCGCGCGGCTGTACTCTTTGACACGTGGCAAAATGGCGCAAAGCCCCAGGCGGGTCCCCTTATTTATATTTTATTATGAAAAGCGTATAGCCGGCTATACTACGATTTTTAATTATTGAAAAAATAGTATGGCCAAACGGCTATACGTTTTTACACGTGGTGAAGTTGTATGAAAATAGTATAGCCGCGCGGCTGTACTATTTTTGACACGGGGGTCAGTCGCCAGCGCGGGTTTTTTTTTAAAAAAAATAAATAGTATAGCCAGACGGCTATACGTGGTTCTTTTTTAAATTAAAAAAGCGTATAGCCGCCCGGCTATACAACGTTTTTTATTAAAAAAAAATGTTGGCACGTGGATGCCGAATCGCAAGGCGATAGGCTGGTCCTCTTTTTGTTTTTTATGAAATAAATAGTGTAGCCGCCCGGCTATACGTGGAATTTTTTTTTAACAGTATAGCCGCCCGGCGTTACGGTGGTCTTTTTTTAATTATTTAAAATGATAATTAGTATAGCCGATCGGCTATACGCTTTACATAGATACTGCTGTTGATGAATGCAATCATAAAAAAATATTAGAATTATTGGAAAACACAAAATTAGTTATGTGTTGTTAAGTTGACTACCAATGTCAAATGAATGAGAATGTTAAGGTTGGGAAGATTTTGATCCCAAGCCTCTTATTTTGGGATGAAAGTTAGAAGCTTGAATGAAATTTTATGCTGCAATTAGGAGAAGGGTTCAACTAGTAGCTCAACTGAGGGAGAAGTGTTTCTGTGCAAGGGGATGTCATCTCAAACTTCATGCAATATTATGTCTAAAAGTTAAAACAGATGGCAATGTGTTATCGGTTTGAAATTCTGCCGTAGCGACATCAGGTTTTCTCCAACGGAGGGATTTTAGAGTCTTTGAAGTCTAAACACATAAATTCAAATGTGTAAAGAGATCATGAAACATCTGTCACATAAACTAGCTAGCTCTCACCATCATTGAATCCATCAAACCAATTACTCACTAAATGTGGCTGATTGGTTGAAGATAGCTAAATTTAATTTCCAAGAGGCAGATAAGGTTTCTTGGAGCTTCTGTTTGTACCAATTCAATGGAAATTTGGTATGCGCGGGTAGGCGGTGGAAACGGTAAAAGCACTAGACAGTCCACATTGTTTATATAAAATGAATCGACTAAAGCGGCTTCCTTGTTCAGAAAGAAAAGCATTGTTAATTAAATTACTGGGAAGGGGACTTTGTTTTTGCCAATGTATGCATGCAACTCAGTCCTCATTCAGTAGAAGTCAAAAAAGTCAAAGGCTGCACCCTGCAGTTGTTACATACACAGAAGAAGAAGGGTGAAGAGAAAGAAACCAAATCTTTGCTGAGTGCCTTTGACATCCTGACCATGGCAACCATGCGAATGCTTCTCTTTCTGGCTATCTTCTATTCTGCAGGGATTTGCATGATCTCCTCTGTCACAGACCCCAATGATGGTATGTTCTTGCATGATCTCCTCTTTTATGTTAATTGAAAAATGAACATTCTGCACATATATGCCTAAAAGCTCTCTTAAGGGTAGTTTGATTGATTTATAAGCTTGTCGACCCAGCTGCTGTGCTCCTATCCTTGAAGAATTCGTGGCAAAATACGCCACCCAGTTGGGACAAGTCAAATGATCCCTGTGATTCCCGGTGGGAGGGAGTCACCTGTAACAATTCAAGGGTGTCTGGACTGTGAGTGGTGCTGTTGATCTGTCTTTGTAGTTAAAGGGCAATGATATCACTTTCTTCCCTTACCATAAATTTTTGCTTTTATGTGCAGGGGATTATCAAACATGAGCCTCAAGGGGAAACTTTATGGTGACATTGGTGGACTCACTGAATTAAGATCCTTGTGAGTATGATTTGTCCTCTTTTTACCGGCATTGCATTTGCAGAATACTGCCAATTTGAAGTGAGTTTTAAAATAAGTAAAGCATACACTTGAAACATATTTCTTTTGCATTGTCAGTTATTTTGATATCTTAATGTTTGATTATTGAAGCTGAAACACTCACACTGTGCAGGGACCTTTCCTTCAACCCTGGCCTCACAGGTCCTCTCTCTCCAAGATTAGGGAATCTGAAAAATTTAAGTATCCTGTAAGAACAAATGAGCAAGCAATTTTCATATTTCCAATTTGAGCATTGTATATGCAAAATGCAACATACATTTTTTATATTTTTATATATATTGAATGAGAATTCATGACACTTTTCATCCTTTAGGATCCTAGCTGGTTGCAGCTTCAATGGTGAAATTCCAGATGAATTAGGCAATCTTGCAGAGCTATCCTTCTTGTAAGAAAATATTAGTAATCATGCTTTTAGTGCATCAAGTCAATGAGTTTTTTCTTTTCCCAACTTTATGCAAATCTTTGGTCCATCTCAGGGCTCTGAATTCAAATAACTTTTCTGGTGCCATACCTCCTTCTTTGGGCAAACTCTCCAAACTCTACTGGCTGGACCTGGCAGACAATCAATTGACTGGAACAATTCCAATTTCGACCTACCATTCCCCTGGCTTAGACCTCCTGTTGAAGGCTAAACACTTGTGAGCAATTATCCATATCCCAACTCTTCTCCATTGTGAAAAAGTAAAATTTTGATAGGGATTATGCCACTGTATATTGCATAAATACTAAAATGATTTTATGAACACGCAGCCATTTGAACAAGAACCAGCTTTCAGGTGTCATACCGGCCAAACTTTTCAGCTCTAAGATGGCACTGATACATTTGTAAGTTGATCCCATCGACTAGTTTATGTTCTCTATTTTTATTTCGTCTAACTGATTTTCGTTCTTCGCTTGCAGGTTGCTTGACGGAAATAGATTTACTGGTACTATCCCAGTAACATTAGGACTTATTAAGAATCTTGAGGTTCTGTAAGTAAAACCAAATCTTGAATTTCTTTGTTTTATTTTCCACTTCTAAGTATATGCTTCTTGACAACAATTGGACTCAAGACAATCCTGTTTGAACAGTCGGCTTGATACAAATGCTCTGGCTGGAAGTGTCCCCTCAGATCTTAACAACCTTACGAATGTCAACGAATTGTGAGTATCAATTTTGCAGACTCTACTGTTCTATTTAACCATCATCTTGTTGGTTGTTTATCAGATTTTTCATGGTTTATATATTCTCTTCCAGAAATTTGGCCCACAACTACTTGTCAGGCCCTCTACCTGACTTAAGTGGAATGAATTCCCTCAATTATGTGTGAGTAGAAGACATGGAGCTATAATTTCTAGTTCTAATATTCCTGCAAATTGTTTGTTTTTCTGTTGTACTGACAAATCCTAATGTTTTACTCTCAGAGACCTTAGCAACAACTCATTTGACCCATCAGAAGCTCCACTCTGGTTCTCAACCTTACCCTCACTCACCACTTTGTAAGTTCTCAGGAGGTTGTATAAAAGTCTTTGTATATCTTTGCAAGTCTAAGAAAAGGAAACTTTGAAAACTTTATTTGAAATCCTTCGTTGAGCTTCTCTCCTTTTATGGCACACACAGGGCCATCGAATTTGGATCACTTCAAGGGGTTGTGCCAGAGAAGCTTTTCAGCCTTCCAAATTTACAACTGGTGTAAGTTCCAGGGAGAACACTCAAGAATATATGCATCAAAGTTTTCACTGTAAATTTATGAAATTGATCATTTCTTTTGAACTCTTGACAGGAAGCTCAAATACAATGCGTTTAACGATACATTGAACATGGGCGATAGCATCAACCCACAACTGCAGCTTGTTGATCTGCAGAACAATCAGATTTCCAGAATAATTCTGGGTTATGAATACAAAAATACATTAATGTGAGACAGTTGATGGGCCTTGATCTTGATTTCCTATGATAATTGTGTATTTTCCCCTCACCATCACTCTTGGTTGTCACTTTTACATGTTGCAGACTTTTCGGGAACCCGGTTTGCAGCAGCAGTTCTGGTGCATCAAATGCTACTTTCTGTCAGCCTCCCCATCAAACTACAAAATCTTAAATGGTCAATCAAGATGAGAGCTTTTGGCCAACTAGTGGAAAATGGTGCAAAAGTGGGGATGCCTGTGTAGCTTCATCTAAGTTCTTCCAATCCAAGTCAAGTCAATATTGTAAAAAATGGATAATCATTCTCTCTCCTTGATATCCCATTTGTTCTTTCTTTAAGTGTGATCAGATTTTATTTTGGTGAAGCTTCTTCTATCAAACAAGCCAATGTCATGAAATCGTGCTTTGAAAAGTTCCTCAGGCAAACGCCTCAGCCCAACTGGCTTTTAAAAAGTCGAGATTTTTTGATCATTTGACAAAAAATCTTCCCCTTCACCGTTGTATGTTGTTTACTTTGACACATTCTCTCTGCCAGTCTGTCTTTCGTCTTCAACGCCACGAGTGAAGCGTGAACCCTCAAGAAAAGAAACCAACCCACATGCAAATATGTCCTGATCATACATGAGCATTGTAAAATATGTCAACTCTAAATCCCCACCAACAGTAGCGACAGCCACATTAAATCCATTATCTTTTATTTTTTTTAATATTTTTTAAAAAATATGTCATCTTCGGCCTTTCATGTTGTATGGATGTTATCTGAAAATGCCTCGATACGACTTAAGGAGATACCCAATTAAATTGTTTCATAGGATTCATAACATTCTATTAGCTTTGGGATTGCCCTCTCAAAGGTAATTAGGTCAAACTCACTATTGAAGGCAGTAGGAAAGTAAGGATACTGAATTCAGCAATTGGAATTGGAGAAGCTGTAAGATATCATAATTATTGTTCGTGGTTGGTTTTGCTACTGTAATTTTAGGTGTGCCAGATGTAGGCCAGGCTATGTTTGCTTTGGGATACAAAGGATTCTTTTCCATCCAAACTGGAGTAGAATTTGTCCCAATGTGTCCCCTGGGAAGGGGAGAATTTAACACAAAATCTAGGGTTTAAATCTAAATGCTCTTAATCAATTGAGTTGCCGGATATTAAGTCTTTGATTCATGTAGCTCATTTTTTTTTGGAATCGGTAAAACGTCAATTGAGATTCTTATTGGTATGACTAGACGGCAATTTGTGGCTCGTTTGTTTATTAACCTTTGACCCCTTGGCACAAAAAATATACTTTATCTTTCGTAGAATAAACTTGGTTGTATTTAGAAACAGTCCTACCATAGAAGTTGACTGTTTGAATTAGATTTTTGTTTTGTGAAAACAATCATCATGTAGATCTCATCTTAAATTAAATGCTTGAATACCAAGTAAAACAAAGGAAAAGACCCTACCACCAGAAAAATGGCCTCAACTGCCACCACAAAACGTTGAGTTACAAAGGTCTTGTCTTTATCCATTTCTTACGAAAATGAAAACCTTTTCTGCCCTTCAACATGTAAGTGGACCAAACCATGACTTGGTCCCGGCCACGCCCGAGAGCCTTGATTTTCATGTCAGCTTGTGGGACCCATTTTCACCTAAAGCCAACTGTACGCATTAAATTATATCAATGCAAGTTGGAACTTAATTAATTAATTAAAATTTGATTAAAAAGTGGAGACTTTAGGCGTATATTCAGAATTGTGTAGCTTTGTTCCCATTCGAAAGATGCTAGCTTTGCTCGTGAGAGAGTTGTTTCTGCTTAACTGTGTTTGTATTATGTGACTTGTCCTCCGAAAATGCGCTGGCGGGCGGAGGAAACGGTAAAACCTCCACATTTTTTATTTGTTTTTTTGCTGCTATCAGATGATTTTGATAGAGGAAAGATGATGATGTTTTTTTGGACTTTGTGTGATGATTTCGGTTGGTGGGTTTTTTTGCTAGTGGAAGGTGCTTATTGTTAAGGCCAAAGGTTGGCTTCTAAGACAAGGCTTAATCATTTAAAAGAAGCTCAAAGGGGCCAACCCAAATCTTTTTCTGTTCTCTCTCTCTCTCTCTCTCTCTATCTCTCTCTCTCTCTGCGTGCCTGCAAGTATTTTTTGAAGACAGTTGAAAAAACCCGACTCACCAAATCAAGCTTTCAAAGCAAAACTTGTTCTGAATTGGTGGGAACATGTACATGCTCATGTACATACATGCATGCATGCTGTCAAGGACTCATTAAATAAAAATCTTCAAGTGGTGTAGTTGGTAGAGTGGAAGGAATTGAATTGAAGGGTGTGTCTGTGAGGAGGGAAGTCTTTGCAAAGTGCTTTTTTGACCATCTGGGGTAAATAGAAATGTGCTTTTTTTTACCTCTGCTTACTAGCTGATCAGCCTCACAGAGACACCAGTTTTCTTGATTTGCTTGCTCCTTCACCACCATGGCAACCATGCGGTTGCTGCTCTTTCTGGCTTTCTGCTATGCTGGGATTCATATGATCTCTTCTGAAACAGACCCCGGTGATGGTATGGTCTCAAATATCAATGTTTATTTGTCCATTTATTGATTTCCTAGTTAATGGGAAATTGGGGTTTTGGTAGTTTGAGCTTTGGCCTGGATATGCGTTGACTTAGGAAACACTTTGCAATATCATGTTGATCCTCCTGTTTCTCATGTTTTTGCATGCAAACTTGGTAATTAGTCCTTTTAGTTTGTGTTTAATGCAAGCTTTTCTTAATGTTTTGGCTAAATTTTGATTGTAAGTTGAACATCCTGCACATATGTGTGTACAAACTTTGCGTTAAGGTAGTAGATTGATTTGTAAGTCTGTTGGTCCAGTTGCTGTTTTCATATCCTTGAAGAGGGCATGGACGAATCTTCCACCCAGCTGGAACGACAAATCAAATGATCCCTGTGGAATGAACTGGGAAGGAGTGACCTGCAACAATTCGAGGGTGACCGCATTGTGAGCATTGTTCATCTTTGAATTTTCATGTGATCCTTGTAGTTCTGGGTATTGGTGACTTACTTTCTTACACAAATTTTCAACCTTGCACTTTTTTATGTGCAGGGGATTATCAGCAATGGCCTTGAAAGGAAAAATTGAAGGCGATATCGGGGGACTCTCTGAATTAAGATCCTTGTGAGTATAATTGCTTCTCTTTGTACCAGCATTATGTTTGCAGCACATTATGAATTGAACCCAGATGCAATGCAACAGATTATGTAAACTATGCATAAAACATATTTCTTTTGCAGTATCAATTATTTTGTTATCACTCAATCTTTGATTAGCATGGCATCCTTTTTGTAACGAAGTAGAAACGTTAACATTGCAGGGACCTTTCATTCAACCAAGGCCTCACGGGTTCTCTGTCTCCACGATTAGGAGATCTGAGCAAGTTAAATATCCTGTAAGAACAAATTAGCAAGCAATTTTCATATTTGCACCTTCTGAACTTTGTATATGCAATATAAGTTTTTATATTGGATAAGTATACAAGACTCTTTTCATCTTTTAGGATCCTAGCTGGCTGCGGCTTCAGTGGCAATATTCCAGATGCTCTGGGCAATCTTGGAGAGCTAACTTTCTTGTAAGAATTGAATTGATAATTATACTGTTAGTGCAAACCATTTTAAGTTTTTTCTTTCCCAACTTTATATAAATCTTTTGTTCTTTTCAGGGCTCTGAATACGAATAACTTTACTGGTAAAATACCTCCTTCTTTGGGTAAACTCTCCAAACTTTTCTGGTTGGACCTGGCAGACAATCAGTTGACTGGAACTCTACCAATTTCAACCCCCGATAACTCGGGCTTAGACGAACTATTCAAGGCTAAACACTTGTGAGTATTTTTCCATTTCCCAAACTCTCTCCATTGTGAAAAAATGAAACTCTAATAGGGATTATGCCATTGCTTATTGCATAAACATTAAACTGATAATATGGACATGCAGCCATTTCAACAAGAACCAGCTTTCAGGTACCATTCCACCCAGACTTTTCAGCCCTAAGATGATACTGATACACATGTAAGTTGATCCCATCGATCATTTTTTAATTTGGCCAGATGCCATCTGTCAGTTTATGTTCTATACTTTTATTTATCTAACTGCTTGTCATTCTTCAACTGCAGTTTGTTTGATGGAAATCAATTTACTGGGGAGATTCCATCAACCATAGCACTCGTTCAGACTCTTGAGGTTCTGTGAGTACAACAGCTCGATTTTGTTATTCTTTCACATATAAGTATCTGCTTCTTAACACTTATTGGATTCAAAACCTTCTTGTTTGCAACAGTCGGCTTGATAGAAATGCTCTGACAGGAAATGTCCCCTCAAATATCAGCAGCCTAACAAATGTCAATGAACTGTGAGTATGAAGTCACTAAGAGGATACTCTAATGTGCTGTTAACAGTTACCTTAGTCTTAATTATTCTTAACCATCTTTTACATGAGTTTTTGTTCTCTTCCAGAAATTTGGCCCACAACAATTTGTCAGGCCCTCTACCGGACTTAACTGGAATGAGTTCCCTCAATTATGTGTGAGTAGTGGCATGGAGCTGTCATTTCAAGTTTCAAGTTTCCTGCAAGTTGTTGTTTTGTTGTACTGATAAATCCTAATGATTTTACTTCAGAGACCTGAGTAACAACTCATTTGACCCATCAGAAGCTCCACCTTGGTTCTCAAACTTACCCTCAATCACCACTATGTAAGTCCTTAGGAGGTTACACAAAAATGTCTTAGTATCCATGAATGAGTCTTGGAAAAGGACACCCGGAAAACTCATGTAATTTTTTGTTGAAATTCTCTACTTTTACGGAACACAGCGTTTTAGAATTTGGAGCACTTGAAGGGACTGTGCCAGAGAAGATGTTCAGCATCACATCATTGCAGCAAGTGTAAGTTTAAGGAGAATACTGAAGAAAGCATCAAGTTTTGACTGTAATTTTAGGAAACTTGCCATTCATGTTTTTTTCTAACCCTTGACAGGAAACTGAAAAACAATACGTTTAACGATACATTGAAATTGGGTGATAGCATCAGTCCACAGCTGCAGCTTGTTGATCTGCAGAACAATCAGATTCCTAAAATAACTCTGGGTTATGAATACAAACATACATTAATGTGAGACAGTTCATGGGCCTTGATCTTGATTTTCTATGGTTGTGTATTTTTCAACACCATTCTTAGTTGTCACTTTTACATATTGCAGACTTGTAGGGAACCCAGTTTGCACCAGTGGAACTAGCTCAAATTCATTCTGTCAGCTTCCACCGCAACAAGATACAGAAACGTATACTACTAGCTCGAATTGTGCACACATTACATGCCCCGATAATCAGAAGCTCAGCCCTCAGAGTTGTCAATGTGCATATCCTTTTGAAGGAACATTGTATTTCAGAGCACCCTCTTTCAGGGAATTGTCAAATGTGACTATGTTTCACTCACTAGAAACGGGTCTATGGGAAACACTTGGCCTCACTCCTGGTTCAGTTTCTCTTAAAAATCCTTTCTTCAACACTAATGACTATCTTCAAATTCAGCTGGCACTCTTTCTACCTATAGGAACATATTTTAGTTCCCTGCATTAGAAGATTGATTAAACTGACAATAAAAACTCAAAATTGTTTCAGGTGGGAATAAAAGTTCTATGAGCACTGGTGTTATTATTGGGATATCAGTTAGTTGTGTAGTTCTTGTACTGGGCCTCGTGGTAGTGGGAATATATGCCATTAGGCAAAAGAAACGTGCAGAAAGAGCCATTGGATTAAGCCGACCTTTTGGTAATTAATTATTCTTGTTGTTTATAATTGGGTACATTGAAATTCTGTCATTGACATTAGAAGTTGGTTTGCTTATATCACTCCTTTTCTCTATCTTCTAGCTTCTTGGGCACCAAGCGGAAAAGATAGTGGTGGTGCACCACAGTTAAAGGGAGCAAGATGTTTTTCTTTTGATGAGCTTAAGAAATGCACAAATAATTTCTCTGACAGTAATGAGATAGGATCTGGTGGATACGGGAAGGTATATTAATTCAAGTATTTCAGTAACATCTATGAATTCTGCTTCAAGGTGAAGGATGTTTTTTTTTTACCTTTTGGTTGGTTGTCCATAGGTTTACCGGGGCATGCTTTCTGATGGACAAGTGGTGGCAATCAAAAGAGCTCAGCAAGGATCAATGCAGGGTGGCCTTGAGTTCAAGACTGAAATCGAGTTGCTCTCGCGAGTTCATCACAAAAATGTTGTTGGCCTTTTGGGATTTTGTTTTGAACAAGGAGAACAGATGCTGGTTTATGAGTTTATGCCTAATGGAACACTCAGGGAAAGCTTGTCAGGTTAGTTCAAAGATTTTATTCTCAGCTATTTCATATTGCATAGAGATAACTTGTTCACAATAGACATAGTTACCAACTTCACCTTTGCTTAAATATGAATTGCAGGGAGATCTGGTATTCATCTTGATTGGAAGAGGAGACTCCGCATCACTCTTGGCTCGGCAAGAGGACTAGCTTACCTACATGAGCTTGCAAATCCTCCTATAATTCACAGAGATGTGAAGTCCGCCAACATTCTATTAGATGAACATTTAACCGCGAAGGTTGCAGATTTCGGCTTGTCCAAGCTGGTAGCTGACAGTGGAAAAGGGCATGTCTCAAGTCAGGTCAAAGGTGGTAAGCTTTACGTTATTACCATTTCAACATATATTCATCCCATTGAGACATTCTTGAGTTTTTACTCTTAAGTTTCTGTTTTGTTCTTGCAGGGATATCTTGATCCTGAATACTACATGACTCAACAGTTAACTGAGAAGAGTGATGTATACAGCTTTGGAGTGGTGATGCTTGAATTGATAACGGCTAGGCAGCCTATTGAGAAGGGAAAATACATCATCTGCGAGGTACAATTGATGATGGACAAGAATGATGAAGAACACTATGGTTTGAGGGAGTTAATGGATCGAAGCATTCAAAACTCTGGAACTCTTACTGGGTTTGGGAGGTTCCTGGAGCTGGCCCTGCAATGCGTTGAAGAATCAGCTGCAGACCGCCCCACAATGAGTGAGCTTGTGAAGGCTATTGAAACCATTCTGCAGAATGATGGCATGAACACAAACTCAACATCAGCATCTTCATCAGCCACAGAATTTGCAGCATCAAAAGGAGCTCCTAAGCATCCGTACAACGATGGCTTGCCGAAAAAGGAAGTGAATGACAGCACTGGTGCCTTTGATTACAGTGGCGGATACGCAGTTTCGGCGAAGATTGAACCCAAGTAGTAGCAAAGGCCTGCAGCAGAGTTAATTTCTTCGTTTGTAATTGTACCTTCTCTTCTTCATTCATATATGTAAGTAGATACAGGAAAAGAATATATAGTGGTCTGTCATTTCAATTGCCAAATAGAAATTTAGTGTGTTATGTTACAATATGTTCCTATGGGCTTCAAACTCGAATGCTACAATGTTTTTTTTTTTTTTTTAATTTTTTTTTTCGGATTGGGGGCAAGGAAGTTTTAGTAAGACCTAAAAGAAGTATCGAAATTTTACTACTTTGAGTTTCGTACCCTGATCACCTTCAGAATTGTGTTGTGTTAGGACTCACATTCTTGGTGTTGATCTTTTGATTTCAGGTTTTGTTTTGTTTTTTTAACGGCTGTCAGATTGGTCTTGGCGGATATGGTACAAAAATCGTCATTAATGCTCGGAATTTGTATTATCTACATGAGAGTAGTAATGCTGGAAAGTCTTAATTGTAAATCTTTAGGGGCCGAAAGAAGTAACGGCATCTATTCTACTGCTATGACATTTGTCAACTTTCTTCCACCCTGGTCATCTTAGAACTTTATGTGGTAGGATGGTCCTCTGAAAATGCTAATAACTATGGAAAATGCAACCCTAATACAAAATAAGCTCCGAAATATCCGAGTAATGCACCCTTTAATTCATCTTAATAAATTAAGTTTCATGAAAAAGGTAAAGAATCAAGTTCAGTCATTTGTGAATTTCTTGTTAAATTAGAACCATTAGAATTAATTTGAAACTTTTCTGAACTAGTTTTTGCAAATTGATCATGCGATAAAGTTGAGATAGAATTCACAGATTCAGGTTCATCTTCCTCCCCAGATGACTGTTTATAAACATTAACTTTCCTCATAGTCATATTTCCAAAACAAAGTTTCATGACTCCACTTCTGCAATTAATGTTACAATCACAGGTAGCGAAGAAAGGACGTCCTAAAATCACAGGAATTTAATTATCAAAAACAATAAAATCAACAAGATAATAAAATTTGTCCACTTAAACCAACACATCTTCAATAATCCCTCGCGGTGTCCTTACTGATTGATCAGGTTTAAGCTCACCAGGACCTAGCTGCAGGTACACTGAATAAGGCAATAAATTTACAATGGAGCCCAAATCAAGTAATGCACGATCAATAAAATTATTTCCAATTACACACGAAAGAGTAGGACTTCCAGGGTCTTTATATTTTGGAGGAATTTTATATTGTAACAATGCACTCACATGTTCAGTTAAAAAATTTAGCATAGGATGGAATCTGTTTAATAGCAGCTAACAAAGGAATATTCACTTTGACCTCTTTAAAGACATCTAAAATTTCAGAAATTTGGACTCAATTTCTTTGGAGGATTTAAAGCTTGGGGAAAAGGAGCAGGAAAATGATATTCATTTGATTCATTCAAGTTGGACGTGTTAAGTTTATCATTACTCGTAGATTTTATTAAGCTTGGTGTGTTAATTATTTTACCACTTCTAAGAGTAATAACAGACTTTACATGCTCGAGTGAAGATTCACAAGAATTAGCCCTTTTTGGATTTGGTTGAGTGTTGGCAGGAAATTTTCCTTTTTCATTAATAGCCAAAAAGTTAGTCAACTTGGAGATTTGACTCTTCAACCAATTGACCAAGCAAAGTATCATACCTTTGATTTTGCTTATGTTGTTCATGCTTAAATGTGAATGCATTAGGTGCCTGAAACTGATTATTGGAAGAATTCATGTCACTTACCTGAGGTTGTGACTCATTGCTCAAACGAAAGCTTGGATGATTCCTTGTTGCTGGATTATAAGTGTTGAAAAAAGGAGAATACTGTTGTTTGAAGTTTCCAATAGTAGCACAACGCTACTCATAAACTCCTTTCATTTCCTGAAAAATTGGGCAATTTTAAACAAGTATGACCAATTTCATAACAGGAATCACATACTTGATTAACATCAGCTTGATAAACAGGTTGAGGTAAATTTGATTTTTCAATTTTTAAAGCGGCTATCTCTTTAGTCAAAACCTCAAATTTTAATTTCCAATCATCTTCTTCTTTTAATTTATAAATTCCTTTATTAGTAGACGATGTGGCAATTCTTGACCGATCAGTGGTTTCAACTAGACTGGGAGCAATCCATTGATGGGCTTTTTCAGCAATTTCATCCAAAAATTCTAGGACATCATCAAGGTCTTTTTGCATAAAATTTCCATTACACATAGACTAAACAAATTGGCAATCACACGGGAGAAGTCCCCATAGATATAGCTAGCAAGACGCCAGTTTTCAAAGCCATGGTGTGGGCACAAATTCAAAAGCTCTTTAAAATTTTCCCAAGTTTGATATAAAGTTTTATTTTCCTTCTGAGAGAAATTGGAGATTTTTTTCTTAAGAGCAATTGTCCTGTTATTAGGAAAATATTTGTTAAAAAATGCTTGGGTCATCTCTGCCCAATAACCTATGGACCTAGCCCTTAATGAATATAACCAACTTTTAGCTTTCTCTTTTAAGGAAAAAGGAAAGAACTTTAACCTTATGAAATTAAGCCTATCAAGTTGACCATTGTAAAAAGTGCCAATAGACTCTTCAAATTCCCAACATGCACATAAGGGTTTTCACTTCCATACCATGAAAAATTGGTAGCAATTGAATCATTCCAGGTTTAAAATCATAATTTGGCATGTTAGGTGGAAACATGATGCATGAAGGATTTGGTGCACGAATAGGATGCAATAATGTCTCTAAAGTTCTAGGTGCAACTACTTCTTCTCTTATTTCATTATTCACAATTTAAGCATTAACCTCTCGTTCATTATTCAGAATTTCTGCCATGCTTTCAGATTGGTCAGATGTTTCAGTTAAAGAAGTTGAAGTAGAATTAACAATTTCAATCTTTTTAACAAATCTTCCTAGATGATCTCTAGGTCGCATAAAGGAAAAAAAAAAATAAACAAAAATATATATTAATAATGGGATAAGTTTGGAAATAGTGTACAAGATGTGAAGATCCGAAATAAGACGATTATTTCCGAGGGGTTTCTCATTCCGTCGGAATTGTTTGCCTATTTCCTAGGAGCTTCTCATTCCCTCGGAATTGTTTGACTATTTCTGAGCAACTTCTCGGTCACGTCTATTTAAAGGGAAGCATTTCTACTTTCACTTTACTTTTTTTTTCCTCCCTGTTTTCTGGTGCATTGTGTTTTTGAATGTCCTTTCTAGTTGGGAAGGGTATTTTCTTTTTCTTTTGCAAACTTTATTCTTTTATTTCCCAGTTAAAGAAAAAAAAAACAACAAACAAACGAACAAAAAAAAAAGACACACACACACACACACACACACACACACACTAATAATACAACAGAAATCATTTCTTCACGATGCTCTGTGTCTCAACTATAGGAGCTTTTAGTTTGGCCCTCTACATGTCCTCTTCTAGTTTTTCACGCACAACCTCTTGGGGCCCATCACTTGAGCTCCTAAAGATCGCACTCTTAGCTTGAGCACAACTCCTGTCACAATCTAGTTGCTTGCGTTAACCAGTCGATCTAGGGCCTCCAGCTGCTTTCGCATGTCTTGAGAGTAAAAATCTACCATCTTTGATAGGTTCTTATTCTCTTCCCGTAAAACTTCAAGTCGATGTCGACTCACCTCAACCGTCCTTGACCTCTCCCATTTCAAGCTTTTTATAATACTCTGACATTCCTCAACCACACTCTGCTCTGCCGCCAACTGAGCCTTAAGCACCTCCACCTCATTGGATTTCGCAATTAAGCGATAACCCATACTTGCAATACATGTTGTACTCTGCATGCTCATTGCCAAGGCATCACGCACGACCCGGTTGTCATCCCTTGCCCCAAGCACACGTATATCTCTAGGAGTCACTAAATTTCTCACAACTCCAACAACGACATCTTTGTCTAGGAGTATTGAGTCGTTTACATTCACAGTTCCTTGTGAAGATGCAAAGTAGGGCATCCATATTGGTGCTGCTCCTTGACCCCATGTCTGAGTCAGTGGAGCTAGGTTGAGATCCAACAAAAATGGGAAAGAAGATGCCATTTGATTTCTCACTTTTTTCTTCTTTCTTTTGTTTGTTTTTGTGTGTTTCTGAGTTTGTGTTTTTCCCCCCTTCTCTTTGCCTTTTATAGACGTAGTTTTTGTTTAACCCTAGCCATTGCGCTTCTGAGTTTCGCGCGGCCCTTACTGCCTATCCCCTTCTGTCACCTCACCCGTTCCCCAACCATTTTAATTGCAATTCTACCTTTCAACACTTTCAAAAAACAATAAGTCGTCATGCCTTCCTAAGAAGCCAATAATTCTGGCTTAGGGATGTGCGAGGGGTCTTTGCATATCAACGCCTCTCTCGCTTTGTTTGCCCTTGACTTACCAGGGGCCGAGACATCAGGGCCCACATTCTTCCTTTTTAGAAATCTAGCTCCTTTTGCTTCTGATCACGTTTCTTTGAATTTTAAAAACACAAAAAAACAAACAAACAAACAAACGAAAAAAAATCGTTTGGGCTTTTGTTTTGGTTGGGTTTTCAGTTGGTTTGGGCATTCCAATGGGTTGGATTTCAGCTTGCGTAGGACTATTGTTAGGGCTTCCTGTTTTATTTGGTTTTTGTTTTGTTTTGTTTCTTTTTTAATTTTTGCAACTGTGTTGTAGTTTTAATTCTTGTTTGTTCTTTTATTTAATTGCTTTAATCCCTTTCCTTTCTAGTTATAACACTGCTGATGCCTAAATTTTTAACATTGAGGACAATGTTTATTTCTAAGTTAGGGAAGGGGTAGCAAGTCATTTTCATTTCAGTTAAATTCTTGTTTTCTTTTCAGTATTGAGTCATTTTGTTTTCAAGTCATTTTCTAGACACATATGATGAGATTGTGATGAATGTTTGCATGACTTGATTGAAAATGCTAAAAAAAAATAATAATATTATTTTTCACTAAATGGCAACGTTCTAGCATGATATGTTTGTAACCCTCTATGCACTTGCCATTTGTTTCATAATTCTCCAATTGAAGGACTTGCATGATCCAAAGA